TCGCATCCCCAAACCGGAGCCGCAAGAAATTATTATATGGAACAGTAAGCATTGAGCATGGGCAGAGACTGAAATGCCAGTAGCTCATCAGGGCTGGTTTAATGGATCTTTCATAAAACAACTTGCTGGAATCAAAACAACTCAGAAGAGGAACAATTCTCTCTCTCACCATCCGAGAAGTAGAAAAGCAGGGAGCACTTCATGCTGCATGAAGACAAGCACTCGAATCTCACTTGTTCATAACAACTTCTCCAAGCATTTCTAATTTTTCTTGTCTGAACATTCGCCTTCCAACCTCTAAGCAAAGCATGGTCCACAGTCCAACAGCATCAACATCACCTGGGAGCTTGTTAAAGAACCTCAGGTCTGTCCTCACACCTACTGATTCTGAATCTGCATTTTAATAAGATCTCAGTTGATTCCTCTCTGCTGTAAAATTTGAAAAGCTTACCTCCAAGCATCTATTCTTACCCCCCATCATCCATTCTTTGCACAGCAGCCTGAGTAATCTTTTAATTTAATTTGTTTACCCACTAATTATTCCCCCCCTATAGAAAGAAAGCACCATGAAGGCAGAGAAAGAGCATGGAATTTGCCCCACTAATTCAGTCAGCATTTATTGACTGTCTACTGTGTACTAGGCAGTCTGCGAGAGACAGGATACAATAAAAATAAAAGAGGACTTCTTTCCTCAAGTAGCTTTTAGCTACCTTTCTCCTTTCATTTTTCCAGTTGTCAAATTCAAACCTTCGAGTCACCACTGAGTCCTTCTACTTCTCATTCCTCCCACCAGTCAAGGACTGGCTATTCTCTGTATATAAATGTGAGCTCAAAAACATCTCTCACTGTCATGACCTCTTTTTTCATGCCCACTATCAGCACCCTCTTTGAGCATTCATTATTTCCTGCATTATCCCATGACAGCTTTCAAAGTGATGCTTTCTTCAAAATGATGCTCTCGTGTACACACAACTCCAATTTATCTCACACAGCTATATAAAAAATCATCTGAAAATACAGTTGAGGTCATAATGGTCTCTTATTCAATATACACTTGATAGCTTCCCATTTAATGCAGAAAAAAGACCCCCACAAACTCTTCAACTTGACATTTAAGGTCCTCCAATGTATTATGTTGAGCTGAATGAAATTTTTATTTTGCTGTTCAAAAAGGGCAGAATATTGTCCATTGCATATGGTACCTTTCCATTCTTTTCCTCTGAGGTCCCCCCTCTGTCCTGCACTCTGGAATACAAATGAGATCAATCTAAGCTGTCCAAGCGTGTTCACTTCCTTTGGTTCCTTTGCTCAGGTTTGTTCTTTCTGGAGCTCCTTCGAGCATTCTCTCTCCCTTGAATACTTCTAGTCATCCCTAAGTTCCATCTCAAAACACTCATCCTCCACGATGTATTTCCTGTTGAGTCCCTTCTCCATTGGTAGCAACCCTGCCATGCAATGAAGTCACTTAAGAAAGTATTCATGTGTCTCTGACGCTACCAATGAGCACTGGGGCTACTTTCCTGTCTTACTCGGTTGTACCCACTGAGCTTCCAAGTGTTTTGCTGTATATACTCCTTCGCAAGCAGCACATCTTAATACGTATTTGTGTACATGTTAGTGCCCTCAGTTATTTTTCTGGGTAAGTTTTACTTAAGGTTAAAAGTGGTATTTTCTCACTGTTCGTGATACTTTTCTCTGCTTGTTTGTTATTTTGGCCATTTGAAATTTCTTCTGTCATTAAATTAAAAAAAACCCATAAAACTTTGCAAGATATGGTATCTGTTATGCTGTTTAGCACCTGAATTCTCTGGCTAACTTTCTCATATAGATTATGCAATTCGGTAATGCAACTTCATTGTAATGAACTAGGAGAAGCTTTATTAATTCATTTATTTAAAACTTCCTCATTTATCTCTGACAGTCTTCCTTAAAGAATAAAGTTCCTCAGGTCAAATAGAAAATTCATATTAAAAATATAAAATATGTCAGAGCTTGAAAATTACAATGAAGTATTTGAAGGTATATTTACTTCTACACTATGTATTAAAAAAACAAGAATCTACAAGCATATCATTTTAACCTTCTTGCAGCAACATGTAAGTCATATGCATAAATAAAACATTAAAACAAAGACTATAAAAAAATGTAGTATGTTGTGGTTAATATGAAGGACTTTGGGCCAGACTTGTGTTGATGGCCCAACTGGAGTCTCGGTTCATTCATAAAATGGAGACCGTACCCACTTCCCAGGATTGTAGTGAGAGTTAAAAATGAGACAACGTGTGTTAAGGGCTTAGAATATTATCCGGCACATCATCAACAAAAAATTATAGTTTTATTAATAAAGATAAATGACAAGAAAGATTTCTCTAAAGCTATCACGATTCTAGAAGTTTCTTTGTAGACACCTTAAATATATATGTATAAAATGATGTCATACTTAACTAGTCCATAATGAGCAAGAAAGTGTTTAGGAAGACTATGACATCATTTCTAGTGTTGCATTTAGAAAGAGAGAGAGAGGAAAGGCCTCCTCCCCTTTGCTGCAGCAAAATCTTGGCTGAAGACATGAAGAGCAATAAACAATGTCAAGCCTGGGAATATTTAGGAAGTGTCCATAAAGCAAAACTCATGCTGCAGTTTGGCATCTTTCCCCTGTCTGATGAAAGCGGAAGGGGCATTTCAGAAATTCTTTCCATCTTAACCTAAAACCAGAAAAATTCTTTTCCATGGAGCCTGGAGAAATTTTTACACATGGTTTGCCTGCTTTTCTACCAGGTATTATCCAATTAGTTATATAAATTAGGGAATTGTAATGAATATTTTGGGTAACTAAAAAGTGTACCAAATGTGTTTTACAGTGTGTAATCTCATGAAAAACAAGAACAAAAAAATAATGGGGGAAAATGCAGATTTTCCCATCAAATTCATTTATCCATCAAATAATTAAATAAGTATTTATTGAACTACTGTGGTCAAGGCACTATGCTATGTGCTAAAGGTAAAAGTGAAAAATCAGTAAAGGAATTAATGCCAAAACTAATGCCCAGATGTTGTTGGTTAGAAAAACCATGATATAGATCCCCAACTCTCTTTAGAGTCCAGTAGTCAAATTCTATTCTGCTTTGACAATGTAACAAACTATTTGAATAAACTCTGGTTTATTACACAAAATCCATCAGCACACTAGATAAATTTTTAAATGGTGCTAGAAAATTTAGGGACCAAGAGGCTCTTGGTAAGGTCATATGCCATTTCTCTAGTTCCAGTCTTATTGACAGTATATTGAAGACTTTTTTGGGTAGATAAATAATAACTTCATCCTTCTGCAATTCATGTAAATACCCCAGAGTTCAAAATTAATATGACTTCCTAAATGAGTCGGAAAATTAGGAAACAGATTCTCATATGAAATATATAGTGTATGGATTTTGTTAGATGGGAAGATACCAAACAGAGGGTTGTTTTTTTCATGATGCATAAAATGTTTTCACTTACTGTGAGAGAAACCTAAAAAGAGAGTATGGTCCCAAGGGTTTTACGATACTCGGGAGGAATAACAAGTCCTGTGTGAGTCATACATGATTCCACTGAGTAATTTCTGAGGAAAAAGTGGAATATATTTCGTGTATCTCTGAATACATGAAATGAATCTAATAGAGTAGTCTATTAGATTTTGTTCAGTATCTGAAATAATGCAGCTTCCTTTTTCTTTTTTTAGCACAGTGATTTATTTTAACAAATTCATTCTCTCGTGCAAAAATATTATATGATTCTGCCTACCCTCTGGAAGGGTGGTGACAGTGACATGTGCCCCTTCCCCCTCCCCCACAGTAACCACCCACAGGAGCAAGGCTCTCATCAAGTGTTTGGGGGATGAATAAATTAAGGTTCTCATCATTACACACTGCAGAGAAAATTAAGCAAGGACGATGCATTAGTCTCCTCTCCTTCAACTGCTACAAATATTCATGCTCACAGGTGTACACACACATACTTCTGGTATTTCAGGCTCAGTAGTTGAACATGAGCCATTTTGCAAGTATTGTGAAAAAACTAACCTTACTGCGTAAAATATTTTGGAGCCAGAGTCTCAAGGGGAAATACTCTGAGAATGCCAACAGAAGGCTTTGACAACATTATTGATCATCTGTTCATTAAGACGGAAAATGTCTTCCATTTTTTTAAAGCCAAATTACAAATAAAGGTTTTATTGACATGAGTATACATTAAAGTCAAAGATAACCTTATGGAATTAAAGAAAAGGTAACACCCCTACTTGCCATCTCCAATCAGTATGCATCCTGATGCTGAATTTGAAAATTAACGTTTTTCCTGTGAGGCATAAGGCCTGGGATGAATGGATTCAACTGCTTTTATGGCAAGATGAAGGATCACTTTCTCATGCTCTCGATGCCAAATAAAGCGATGTAAAATCAGTTCTTTTCATAACTGACAGCCTCAGCCTTTGAATATATCTGTTGCTAAAGCATCTTTGAATAAGTTACCATCTTTTCTTCGCAAAACCCAACAATACTGAGTCATTCCTGGGCTTTCATCTCTAGCGCCCATTCTACTTGGGGAGGGCAAGCCAGATCATTTAGCCACTTAAGAAAAAAAATATCACCTCTTAGCAAAATTTCCTCAGATAAGTCAGTACTTAGTATATTTATCTTACATTCAAATTATTGAATTTTCAGTAAGATAGAGAATGTTGCACATTTTTGCCATTAAAATGATAAAAATCCAACAATAAGTCAGACATACTAATATTTGTTAATAACTTGCAACACAGGCAAAAGACACAATTCTTCAGATATCTAATCAAAACAGCCACGGATAATGGCATCCTCTGCCTAGGAAATCATACATGCTATAGACAATGACCGACGTAGACTTAAGGATAAAGGACCAGCCACAGAGAGATTGCTTCAGATAAAAACATTCCAATTCCTCCCTGATTTTCCCTCATTGAAACACCCAAACAAAACATGTGGTACCTTTTAATTTTCTGAATGAGTGGTTCCCAATCAATGTTTCCTCGGTTAGAGACAACAAACTGAAGAATCTACCGAAACAAAACAAAAGGAAAAAACACACACATATATAGATTTGTTAACTAAATATTGAAAACTGTAACTCACCGGTAAGCAAACGCATTCTTTACATCCAGACAATAAACCTGTCTTGAGATCTCTACTACAGACAATGCAGTACTTGAATTTTTAGGAAGCTCGGTAATGAATTTTAAAATACTCTGACATCGCATAAAGCAGATCCTTCGGAAACCAGATTAAAAATGAAACCAGATTAAAAATGTAAAAACCCCGAACCATTACCAGCGTGTCTGGCCCGACGCCGCCCGAGGCGAGCCTCTGAGGATGGCTGCGGAATCCTGCTCCGAGCATCAGCCGCTCGCTGCAGTCTGCGAGCCGCCCGCTCCCGCCTGCGCGGCAGGCAAGGGGAGCTGCAAACTAGGAAAAGTCCCCGCAGTGGCGAGAAGGAAAATAAGGCGAGTGGGAGAGGGAGAGAGAGCTCACTAGCCTCCGAATTTTCGAGAATGATGACAAGCCACCCAGCTCCGCCATCATTCACTGACAATAAGGTGCAGCCCTGGCTTATGATTCAGGGCTTTGCCGTAGGGGCTTCTGGTCCCGAATGCCTGACAGGCATTTTAATTGCCTCCATCCAAGTGTGTCCCCAGCAGTGGAGTCTATGAGCCTATGAATGTCATCATCTGGTCTCCTTTGTGCTATTGCCAGATACACACACACACACACACACAGTGCTTAAGCGGAGGGAGAGACAGTTTTCCGGCATATAGGATTACAAACAAGTTAGGCTCCACAAACTGGATGTGACTAAATGACAGTTTATGGGAATCTTTATTACCTACATCAATGACAACAGAGATTCTTTGATGTTCTGTCATTGGCAGATAATTAAAATATTTTAAAACTGAGTATCGCATATTGCTTATTTATATTCCAACATAAATAACCATGCTCATTGGAAAACTGCATACACTTATGCACATTTTCTTACGGAAAAACTCAGTCCCCTTGTAACTGTGGTAACTACGCACTTGGAAATGTCTTTTTGACAAGGGAGGATGCAGGAAAAAACAGAGGGTTGGGAGACCAGGTGGATCTGTGATTTCTGTGGGCGATCAATTTTATTCCGCTTATACACAAAAGCAGAGGAGGTGGCAACCAGCTTGAGCCCCGGGACTTCACAGTCCCTAAGGGCCAAGGCAGGGAAATGAATCTCTGGCATAATCTCTATCCCCTTTATATTAGCAATTGAGATTAACAGTTGACTATCCCTGTTTTACAGTGCCCCTTACGTAGGGTGTTTAAGTGTGGAATAATTCTCTGCATTTATCTCCTGGACAAAAGGAACAGGAAAGAATGTTAATAAATTAATGAATTTTTGCAGCATTGTTAGCTCCCTGCATCAGTGACTAAAGCAAATTCAATGTGTACCAAAAAGGGCCGGTTGTGAAGAAGGTTGCTGGGAGGGCGCATCACCATGGTTACTGGAAACAGAGAGTATGGAGAAAAATAAGGTGATGACAGAGGGAAGGGAAAAAGACTACAGTGCAGGAAATTTAAAGACCTTTGATATGCTCCATTCTTTTCCTTCTGGAAAGAACTGTCTCAGATTTATACTATATTCTGAATACATTAGGATGAATTTGCATTCTCCATTAGCCACTTTCTTCTGCATTTTTTGATCACCAGCTAATTTTGCTTTCATAAATATTCAAATTATGGTTCTTTTGTATGAGATGGATCCTGCTACTCCATGCCTCTGTTTATATTCTGAATTCAGGAACACCACTCAGCCTATTCCATACCCTTTGTTTCATAGGTGAGAAAGCAGAGGCCCAGGGAATCTGACCAAGGTCACAGAGCTGAGTGGAAATCCAGCAGAGGTAACACCACCCCAATTTCCTGATTCAGGTCCCCTGCTTTTCTTCTCTCAGGGTGACTTTCTTTCCTTGCAGTCTCCCATTCTGTTTGCAAGCAAAACTGATTCAGAAACATCCTTTGTCTTTGATTTGGTAATCATTTTATTTGCTAAAGCAGATTTTCCTTTCTAAAACCCATTGCAATCATTCTGAGATCTAGCTTTGTTTAATATCTGAGCTGTAATGAGGTCTGAAGAATTTGAGGTAATTATGTCACTGCTTTTCTTTCATTTCCAGTCTGGCAATCAGATGAATCAGGCATGATTGCCCTTCTGTGAACCTATCTTGTTGAACTTGAACTTAAGGATTATACAGTAGGCATTTTATTATCCCTGACATCATTCTTTCTACAAGCATAAAATTGGGCAATTGCATCAGAAAAGATGAAACACTGCCATTTGCGACGACATGGATGAATCTGGAGAATATCACGCTAAGCGAAATAAGTCAAATGGGGAAAAGTCAAGAACCATATGATTTCACTCATATGTAGGATATAAAACTGAAAGCAACAAAGAAGCGAACAAACAAAAACACATAGACAGAGACAACTGTGTGATGGTTATGTGGGGGGGAAAGGGGTGGAGAGAGGTACAAGAGGGTAAAGGGGGTCAAATATATGGTAATGGAAGGAGACCTGACTTTGGGTGGTACACACACAATGCAGTATACAGATGATGTATTACAGAACGGTACACTTGAACCCTATATAATTTTATTAACCCATCTCACATCAATAAATTTAATAAAATTTTTAAAAATTGGGCAATTGAATTAAGTTGGTCTCCCAAGGCTCCTGTTAGTTATAAATAATGTGAACCTTCCTGGGATTACCCAAAATAATGAAGCCAGAAAACTGGAAGCCCAGGTAAAAATTTAAAGAAAAAAAAAAAAAATCACTCAAAGCAACCACTGGGGGGTGCAATGTTTGTTAAAATCTTCCTGAACTACTCAGTAAAAACTGTGACTTCAATTTTGACCTTGATGTTTTACATTCTTTGTAAAGTGTTCTTTCAATATTCAGTTCTTATGACTCATTGCTTTTAGGTGAATTCATCTACAGGTTGGGCGACATTGCCTTTTTTGATGCCTAAAATATAGTCGCTGCCACCACTACTAGTCTCTGGCCTCAGCTATAAAATAAATCACATTTAAAAATATGCTTGCCCTAGGTAATAATTACAAAAGATTTCAAGTTTCAGTGCATCCTACATGCTGCTTAGGATATCCCTCTCCTCCAAAAAGTGTCCCTTTAAATAGATTGTTCTGTTAAATGTCTACTTTTCTTCAGTGATTTTGAACACTGAGGTTATTTTTCAAAGCAAATGGTTTGTTTTAATATCCCGTCATCTGTTGCTCACTTCTGAGCACACAAAAATGATGCACAAGACTGTCATTTCTTAAAACATGAATCACATTTTATTAAGAAGATCTCATAAAGCACACATACTGGTTATGGTCAGTCTAAAAAAAATAGCACAGCTTCCAAAAAAAATGTAATACTCTTTGGGAGCCATTTAACACTTGGGGACACCTGCTTCACTCAATGAGAATGTGTTGGTCTATTCTTCCCCCCCCCATTTGTTAGTGAGGAACTATTACTTTAACATGTCTGCTGTAGAATAAGCACAATATGTAAAATGCAACTCCTGCCTTTAAGTATGTTATATCCTAAGAATACAAGATGGCAGATAACTGAGAGACTTTCATGATTTTTTGGATTTTTCATATTTATGTTTGAGCCTAAACTGTGGTCTTTTCTCACCCTTCCTCTCTTTGACAATATTCTAGACCTCGGCTTACTGAGCACCACTCATCAGTTCATTTTCCCAATTTTGATGACACACCAACATATATTTCAGACACCTGATAGGTTCTAGGAATTGAGATAAAAGAAAACAAAATTTCCTCCTCAAGGAACTTCAATAATAGTGGAGGGAACATAGAAGTAAACGGAAATCAACTTCACACTTCTTTTTCTCACTCTGCTGAGACACTATGTCTCTGCCCCTCTGTTATATCTGCTTCATCTCAGATCCTGATCCACAAGAATTTCATTTAATTATGTCCCCAAATCCAGTTAGCTTACTCTCCAGGAAGAACTTGGGTTCATTCCCTAAATGCATTAGTCTGTGTGTTTGCATGTAAGACTTTAAGCCCTTTAGGAATGAGTAATGGAGGTCTACCTTCCTTACCTCCACGAAGCCTCAGGTCACATATTATCTCCCCAACAAGGGCTTTCCTGACTACCACAATAAAATCGCAACCATGCCCCTTCCTCAGCCCTGCACCTCCTGCTACACTCTCCCTTTTTTCCACAGCACTTATCACTTTCTATCATGCCGTATTTTATTCATTATGTTGACTATTTATCACATGCCTCACTCTACTAGCTCCATAAAGAAAATCATCTTTACATGTTTGGAGCACTGGCATATCCAAAGCACCTAAAACCGTGCCTGGAAAATATGGGCACTCGAAAATATTTNTGCCTGGAAAATATGGGCACTTGAAAATATTTTTTAAAGGAGAGAATGTGAAAGTTACATTAGTCGATGATTGGAGTGTTTAAGCACAAGAAAAGTCTTTGTGTTCTATATTGATTTCCTCGTTATATATAGAGGGTGGGGCAAAGGTAGGTTTATAGTTGTGGGTATGTGAAACACAGTTTATTCTTGTATTATTATTTATTAATTATTCTTTTATTTTCCATACAACTATAAAACTACTTTTGCCCACCCTGCATTATTCCAAACTGTATGGTGTTGAAATTCTATTAACCTTTACCTACAAAATAGTAATTTCATTCAGTTCAGCCTAATACCTGAAGAAGCTATAAAGCATGCAGAACTCAGTGGAGACAGTTATATAAAATGTTCCAGTCTCCAGGTAGCACAACTCTTTAATGGCCGCTAATTAAAATATGGCAAGTTTCAAATTCAATTTATGGCACTTTCCAGAATATTACCAATTATTAGAAGCATAGCTCCAAAAGCTATTGATTTTTTTAAAGGCCATGAGGCTCTATAATTCATTTGAGGATCTGAAAAAACCTTCTAGAATAGTTTTTTGAATTACTTGAAAAATTCAATCAT